TGGAATTTGTAACCTATACAGTTAAAACTCCTCTATGACACATTTCCACAACGGTCCCATTCACCGGCCGAAAAACAATACTCATGAAATACCCAAAAATTTGACCTCTTATTCACTTTAAACTTAACCCCTATTCAGCGGTCACCTCTATCAGTAAGCGAACGTGAACTTCCTCTAAAACTAGACTTCCTAAGTGGTTAGTTCTTTTGCAGTTCACTATTCGTATGCAGTCAATGCCAAGGAAATTGGTCTCAACCTCAAGACCAAATTATTCTGCAAAAAATACTGCGTCACACCGCTGCGTTTTAGAGAGTTGTGGGTCTCCTAATGAAAGTCAGACAAAGTAACTGAAGAACGGCAAGAGGGGACCATCTGTAGGTTTCCGTGAGAATACTCTTACAACATGTCAGAAAATGTATTAGGGAGAGACAGAAAAACATCTCGAAATCTTGAAGAATGAAATGCAACTTACACTGCACCGTTAGCCGCGCGCTGGCATTGATGGTTCCCAACAAATTTTCATATTTGCAGGTGTACTGGCCCTCGTCTCCAGGTCTAACATCCTGAAGAATCAGAGCACCATTGGACTCTACCGCGTGACGCCCGACAGGAAGTGATGAATTCACCTTAGACCATGTGACCTTGGGAGGAGGATTGCCAACCGCTGTACATTTCAAGGTGGCTGTCTGACTTTTATTGACTGTCGTTTGAACAGGCGGCTGTAACAGGGAGGGAGCCGAGATAGATTGTCCCGGTGCGCCTTTCACACCAGGCGGACCTCTGGGACCAGGAGGTCCTGGTGGACCTTGCATTCCGCGAACCCCGTTTTTGCCAATTGGTCCCTGTGGTCCTACTGATCCATGTTTACCAGAAGATCCTGGTGGTCCGGTTCTCCCTCGGGGACCCGGTATACCTTGGGGTCCTCGTCTTCCTCGTCTTCCAGTGTTACCCTTCGGTCCTGGAAGACAGAGTTTTTCATCTTTGGCGCAGATTTGATTCTTCAGCAGACGAAGTTCTTTTTTAATGAGCAGTTTTACATCAGAAGCTGTTTTGACCGGTTTCGGTTGTGAGTCATCGGATGAAGCGCGTCATTGTCGTGCCGAACTTTCCTGACCTTATGAGCGAAATTAGAACACATACCGTGCTTATTGAATAAACTTCAGGAACAAACAGTAAAGAAAATGCCAATAAAATTTTTTTTAGTCACTATGGCAGGTTCTGCGACCGGGAAAGACTAAACTAATTCTCTGTTTTGGTTGGCTGCCTGAGTGGCTCGATTCTCTTAAGCAACTACCTCCCGTAGGCAAGAAGAGCCTATCTGAACGGAGATTTTATCTCTGAGGTTTATCTCCTTTTTTTTCTTGACCTTTAACAATGTCTATGCAAGAAGATATTTAATAGCACTTAACGATTCACTATTTTCTTGGGAAGAAGCCACCTATGACCACCTATCGTCGTTCTAGGTTTTCTCAATACCCACCTTTCGTCTCCTGTCCCAAATCTAAATGGCCGCTTTCGGTTATTCTCCATCTTCCATTTTTCTGTTGAAATCGAAAGATTTCTGTTTTCATTTGACCAGAGCGAGTCACTGAGTGTGAAAATAGGCGATCATGTTCTTGTATTCGAAGTTCTACGTGAATAAGTGCGATACAGCACGCAATGGACAGCAGCAAAGCTGACTTGCAACACACGCTGTCAATTGTTGTAACTCTGGTTAAATGCCTCTCCTTTGATCTTACTTGTTTCATGATAAAACCGCTCGGTTAGGACTATGATGTCGCAGGGCTTTCCAACTTGGGCAGTTGAACAACTTGGCCTTTGATAGTCTGACGGGATATCACTTTCCGAACAATCCTATTTATATCTCTGACAAATATGATCGAAAGTTCCGGGGAGTTATCTCAGTTTGATGTGCGAATTTTAGCGCAACAGGAAGTCACTGGTCACAATAAGGTCAAATAGAGTTTATAATTTACGAACTGTGAGGAACACGTCTTGTACAGGTTTATGCATTTGAAAGTTTTTTTGTTTATTTGTTTGTTTTTAACACCTTTGCATGTACTTTTTGAGGAATTTATTAGTAAAGTTAATAAATGAAGTGACAGATTAGGTTGCGGCTCTTGCGTAGTGCGCATGTGCATATTACCAGTCACGCCACTGAACTGTTACGTTGTATTTCGCAAATGAAGACATTTATCTACTTTAGGCCTTATTCTTCCGCTCGGCCATAGTGCTGCTGGGCCATTTGGTTTATGACTTGTCTCTAGTGAGAATAAAGTGACTGTGGAAGGCGCACACCTGATTCGAAAACATGATGTTGTCGAACTCAAATAATCTTTATTTTATGAATTGTAGCAAGCAGCTGTGTTGACTCTGTCGACGTCAACCATTTAGCGATGTCATTTTAACAGTCAATGCCAGTATTATAAATGAAGCCTGCAGACATACTAGATGTGAGATATGATTTGGATAAAGTTACAATAAGGCAAAAAATCGATATCTGAATTGTATTTGGTGGGAACCATCTGTCAGCCAATACTTAATTTACGACAATTATTTGGAGAAAGGACTTGTGGCACCTGTGAAAGATGTATCAGCTACGAAAGACAGTTATTAATATAAGATTTGTGAGTACATTTTTGAAAAATTTTGGCAGGTCGGTGTGGTTAGTGGTTAAGAGAGCGGTTATTATAAGGAGGGCTTTGGTTCCAATCTGGGTATTGAATTCCTTCCTTGTGAGAAGAAAAACCTCCATAACAGCGACAGGGAAAATTGCCTCGACTTAGCAAGTCGCCCCGACAATCAATTGTACGTGCGTATAGGAATTACTCATTGAGAGTGAAGCTTAAATTGAGTTCAATATTTATTCTTACAGAACTTTGTTCAGCGGAACTATTCTTGTCGTATAAGAGCAAATCGGGCTTTTTAGTTGAATACTAAATGTTCTGATTGACAACGTGTGGATGCATGGATAATTATCCATGGTGGATGCAATATAAATTTAAAGAATAATTTTACATTAGTGTTCATAATAAAGACAATGATCACACGACATAGCCAGTGCCTTACCCCATTCACAGAGGTTTATTATCCTGGTAGCGGCAGCTATGGACAAAAGTTTCTGTATTCATAAGTTGCATAATTTTAAAGGTCTCTACACGAACAGGTTTTGCTCTTCATGTAAAACTTGGTCGTGTAAATTAGAAGACTCGACTCGTTTTTAAAATGTCCGTACGTTCCGGATCCAATTGGAATTTGGAAGTGTAGGTTTTTGACGACAGGGCAAAACCGGATTACCCGGAGAAAAACCCCTCACGCCCGGAGCAAGGGAGAGAATCAACAACAAATTCAAGCAACAAATGTTGTCGACGCCAGTATTTTGACCCGGGGCACATTAGTGGAGGCGAGTGCTGTCACTACTGCACCACCGTTGCTGCTCAAAATCAATCCTTGGGACTTATCAGCTTTTTTGAGTGTACATTAGAAAAAATAGTTCATTATTCATTAACTCATTGTCTCTGCTCTGTATTTTACACGACGTGCGAAACTAACTTATAAAGAAAAGCAGATTAAAAATGTCGGTCGTAAAAAAATGAATCAGTAAAGGCAACAGGGTTATTGCTGCCGGGTACTATTTCCGATAAGGCGGTGTTTATACATGTGAAATAAGATTTGATCGTTATAATCATAGTTAGCAGAAAAGACTGGTTAGGAAAGGTGGGAAGCATCAACGATAAAACAGATAACCGTGCGGTAGTTTATTTTGGAAGCTCTTTTGTTTCCTGCTCACAAATTGTGACTAAATGAATGAATGCGTCGTTTTTATTGGTCAATAAAATCGAAATGAGAAGAATGCTATGAACGTTTGTGCACCTTCAAGTCCACAAAAACATACAACAAAAAAGTCTGACGGACTTCATAACCATTCCGCTCTATTAACTATGATATAATGAACAACGAGAGCATCAGCTAAACGAAGAGGGAGTTGTAACGTAAAGATGCGCAAATTTCTATTAGAAGTTATTCATCAGTTGACTAAAAGTTTTCAACTTTCTTTTACGAATCAATAGAAGAGGCGATTCTTTATACTGTTCCAAAGCACTTAAGTTTTCCGAGTGTGTGGTAACCTTGTTCTTTGCTACCATTAGTATCCCCAAACCTGAGTTGTATTACAGGAAGCTTGGTCTTGTCAATAAGGAGACGGCTGTCTTCACGCCATATGTGGTCATTCTTGTCACAGTTACAGCCATAACTGGGGTTTGCACACGAGTTAGTCATCCCGCATGCGCACCTACCATTGCCAGATGCCCCGCCCCAGTACGCTATCTTAGTAGAATCACGTGACACCCACCATCCAAACGGATCGTTCTTGTAGAGCAAAACGGAACCGTAACACTGGTACTTGATAAACTGTTCACAATGCGATGAGACTCTGGTGAGGCTCGCCAGCTGAGAGAGACTCACTCCTGTGTAATGAATATTACGTGAGTAACCACCCCAGGCATTGTATCCTTTCGCGGATGTTCCGCTTTCACTGTCGTGACTAATGACTGTCACGCCAACTCCATTTTTAGCTGTCATATCACAGTAAACATTGAATGGTGCCAGACCTCCCTCGCCATCTGGATCAATAACGTAATTTCCGCTTACACTGCTGACGTGTTTTCTGATAACAGAACAGGAATCGAAGCGGCACCAACTGGAGAATTGATTTTGGCTTTGGCTTCTATTGTTGTCAAAGGATTACTCGCGCTACAGGTGTAAGATCCTTTTTGTGATATTTTGATGCTGCCAAGAACTAGAGTGTTGTTCTGAAGAATTCTAGAACCCACAGGAAGCGTAGAGCCATCCTTTTTCCACGTTAGGATTGGTCTCAGGTCACTCTCGGCCGTACACGGTAGATGGACAGTGTCTCCAATTGCAGGGGTTACCTCTTTAGGTGGTTTGACTTTAAACCGTAGAGGCGAGAAAACCATGAGTTGAGCCGAGTGAATTGAGCATGAGTGTTGCTGAACTTAGAATATTGTCTGCCTTACAAATGTATGTTCCACCGTCCTTTTTTACCGCATTATAGATTGTCAGGGCTTCATTTATCACTTTGTTTCTGTCTTTGGGCAGTTTGTTAACTGACTTGGACCACGTGATTTTGGGTTTCGGCTGACCAGTAGCAGTGCAGGCGATAGTGAGGTTTTGTTTCTCTTCAACCATCAGGCGATGTGATGACAGTACAATAGAGGGAGGAACTGACAAGAAATAGAAAATGTGTCACGGAGAAATAAACATCATTGCTTAGAGCCTTAGATTAAAATTGGAACTTACACTGCACTGTTAGCTTCGCTGTTGCGTTGATGCTTCCCAGAGAATTTTCAGCTTTGCAGGTGTACTGGCCTTCGTCTCCAGGTGTAACATCCTGAAGAATCAGAGCGCCGCTGGACTCTACCACGTGACGACCGACAGGAAGTGATGAATTCACCTTAGACCATGTGACCTTGGGAGGAGGATTGCCAACCGCTGTACATTTCGAGATGGCTGTCTGACTTTCGTTCACTGTCGTTTCAACAGGAGGCTGTAACAGGAAGGGAGCCGAGATCGATTGTCCCGGTGCGCCTTTCTTACCCGGCTTACCTCTGGGACCGGGGGTCCCGGGGGACCCNCCCGCATGCGCACCTACCATTGCCAGATGCCCCGCCCCAGTACGCTATCTTAGTAGAATCACGTGACACCCACCATCCAAACGGATCGTTCTTGTAGAGCAAAACGGAACCGTAACACTGGTACTTGATAAACTGTTCACAATGCGATGAGACTCTGGTGAGGCTCGCCAGCTGAGAGAGACTCACTCCTGTGTAATGAATATTACGTGAGTAACCACCCCAGGCATTGTATCCTTTCGCGGATGTTCCGCTTTCACTGTCGTGACTAATGACTGTCACGCCAACTCCATTTTTAGCTGTCATATCACAGTAAACATTGAATGGTGCCAGACCTCCCTCGCCATCTGGATCAATAACGTAATTTCCGCTTACACTGCTGACGTGTTTTCTGATAACAGAACAGGAATCGAAGCGGCACCAACTGGAGAATTGATTTTGGCTTTGGCTTCTATTGTTGTCAAAGGATTACTCGCGCTACAGGTGTAAGATCCTTTTTGTGATATTTTGATGCTGCCAAGAACTAGAGTGTTGTTCTGAAGAATTCTAGAACCCACAGGAAGCGTAGAGCCATCCTTTTTCCACGTTAGGATTGGTCTCAGGTCACTCTCGGCCGTACACGGTAGATGGACAGTGTCTCCAATTGCAGGGGTTACCTCTTTAGGTGGTTTGACTTTAAACCGTAGAGGCGAGAAAACCATGAGTTGAGCCGAGTGAATTGAGCATGAGTGTTGCTGAACTTAGAATATTGTCTGCCTTACAAATGTATGTTCCACCGTCCTTTTTTACCGCATTATAGATTGTCAGGGCTTCATTTATCACTTTGTTTCTGTCTTTGGGCAGTTTGTTAACTGACTTGGACCACGTGATTTTGGGTTTCGGCTGACCAGTAGCAGTGCAGGCGATAGTGAGGTTTTGTTTCTCTTCAACCATCAGGCGATGTGATGACAGTACAATAGAGGGAGGAACTGACAAGAAATAGAAAATGTGTCACGGAGAAATAAACATCATTGCTTAGAGCCTTAGATTAAAATTGGAACTTACACTGCACTGTTAGCTTCGCTGTTGCGTTGATGCTTCCCAGAGAATTTTCAGCTTTGCAGGTGTACTGGCCTTCGTCTCCAGGTGTAACATCCTGAAGAATCAGAGCGCCGCTGGACTCTACCACGTGACGACCGACAGGAAGTGATGAATTCACCTTAGACCATGTGACCTTGGGAGGAGGATTGCCAACCGCTGTACATTTCGAGATGGCTGTCTGACTTTCGTTCACTGTCGTTTCAACAGGAGGCTGTAACAGGAAGGGAGCCGAGATCGATTGTCCCGGTGCGCCTTTCTTACCCGGCTTACCTCTGGGACCGGGGGTCCCGGGGGACCCTGCATTCCGCGAACTCCGTCCTTGCCAATTGGTCCTTGTGGTCCTACTGGTCCATGTTTACCGGGAGGTCCTGCTGGTCCGGCTCTCCCTCGGGGACCTGGTATACCTTGGGGTCCTCGTCTCCCCCGCCTTCCTGTGTTACCTTTTGGTCCTGGTCGACAAAGCTTTTCATCTGTGGCACAGAATTGATTTTGCAGCAAACAAAGTTCTTCTTTGATCAGCTGTTTTACATCAGAGGCTGTTTTTACCAGTTTCGCTTGTGAATCACTGGGTAAAGCACGTCTTTCTCTTGATTTGGTTTTTTGACCTCAAAAATAAAAGCCGCTTTTGAAAGGCTGTATAACATGAATCATACATCTTTAAGAAATCATTCAAGGTAAACAGTAAATGCTAGTTAAATGGTCATCTCCTAATTGTTTTAAAACATTATCAAAGCTATCAATGCAGCAGTTACCTTTGTTGTTGGCTGAACGCGCTAAGGAAAACATCCGGGTTGAAATAGTGTTGACAGGCTGAACGAGAATAAACGTGACCTTAGACAAGGTATCTTTTAATTCCGAAACTGCAGTCTTGCTTTGGAAACTTGTAACAAAAAAATGCACTACACTGTACCAGTACAGTCCCATAGACTATAAAGCTAGAACAAAAGGAATTGCGAACGGCGGAACAGTACGACATCGCGCTCCAGACCACAGGAAATAATAACTCAAAAAGAATGAAACAGACCAGCTTCATGACCTCTAAACG